ACGTTTTCTCTACATGGTGGACATTCAACTGATATATAGGCCAAGTGCTACGCGAAGTGATAAATCCATGTAAGTGTGTGTAAAATCCATGCATTTACAACTCACACTTCTACTGTATATGTATTTTTAGGCTTTGTTGAGTAAGGTGTGATGATATTCCTCAGAATCACTTGTACGCTCTGATTTTTAAAAACTAGTGATATCTAAACTAAAAAGAGTCCAGCTGTAACAAAAAGTGCGTCCAAGAAAAAAAAAGATGGCGACTAAAAGATGTGTAAATCAAAACTGGTGGCCAAGCCAGTGCAATAACGCTGTTGATGACATTTGGAAGTTTTAATAATGGCAATTCAGGTAAACAGTAATGCTGTTGATGACAATGGAAATTTTAATAATGACAATTCAGGTAAACAGTAATGCTGTAGATGAAGGTGGAAATTTTAATAATGACAATTCAGGTAAACAGTAATGCTGTAGATGAAGATGGAAAATTTAATAATGGCAATTCAGATAAACAGTAATGCTGTTGATGACAATGGAAATTTCAATAATGACAATTCAGATAAACAGTAATGTTGTTGATGACAATGAAAATATTAATAATGATAATTCAGATAAACATCGTGTTACAGACTCCTAATTATTTCTCAGTAAGCATCGTTTTGATGTCATACAATACTAAATAAGTTTAATTCCCTTTATCTTTCCACTTTCTACCTTTTTGGATTCAGCAAGATTCGGTTTCAGTTCTTGTTAACATATTCTACTTAACCTTAATTCATATATTTCATTTTCTTAAAGTTATCACACTTTGTGTTTTTTTTTCTCTCTCTCTCTTTATGTTTCTGTAGCATGTACTTCCATGGGCCTCCCGTAGGAAGGAATAAAAGGGGCATTTCCCCCTTACATTTCACCAAAAATTGTACGGGTTATTATGTAAACTTAGCATCGTAGTTAAACTAAATATTTTTAGTAATTTTTATTAAAACTGTAAATTTCTGTTTGCGTTTAAGCACAAATAACATATATTATTTTAGTCTGTTGACTTACGCTGTAAAAGCTGAACCTCTACATGCATGTTTTGCCCCCCCCCCCGAAAATATTTTTGTGGATACCCATGTGTACTTTTTTATCTTATATTTAGTACTAGCTATACGCTATGCTTTCAACCCAAAATAACAGTGAACAACTCGGATACGTTCAATCTGTTAGAGAATACATTATTTCTGCGAATAAAAAAATATATCGCTTTAATTTTTAGGCCTGCAACAACTACAAGTTCATATTTGTAGGCCTGCAAAACTACAAGTTAATATTTTTAGGCCTGCAAAACTACAAGTTCATATTGTAGGCCTGCAATAACTACAAGTTAATATTTTTAGGCCTGCAATAACTACAGGTTCATTATTTTTAGGCCTGCAATAACTACAGGTTCATATTTTTAGGCCTGCAACAACTACAAGTTAATATTTTTTCCAAGTTTTAAAACAATTCTACTCCTTTCTCCTCTTATATATTCTCTCTGTGTAAGCCCTTGATAGCTAAACTGTAAGCCATATGCTACAAAGAAAATATAATTAATAACATCTTCTCAACACATATCACCTACTAGCTACAAAACCAAATCTAACATTTTACTTTCAAAAATAGAAGCAAACATTTTCTTCGTGGCATGCACCCAAATAATATATAATAAAAGGATGCTAAAAATATTTTAGAATTTCAAAGTTCTACAAACATTAATGAAAATGACTCCGAATTGACTACTTGCTCAGGCATTTGATGGTAGCATGTAGTCAAGTTTTTACCATTTTTGATTAGAAAATGTAGGACGGGATCTTGATCTCTTTTCAGGTTAATAATTTTAACAAAAAAAAGTAAGTGCTCGTAGGAACATGTAATAAAAGAAAACAGGAAAACAATGCCCTACTGAAGCTGTTTTGCTCCTTTTTTTTAAACATAAACAGTTAAGCAAGTTTCTAATTGTGTATTTCCTTTACACGGTTTTCAGGTGTGACTAATCTACTAAATTCTCCACCTTATTCGAGTGTCTTTGAAGAAATTTATATAATCTCTCACTGGTGTTTGTAATCTTTAGAATCTAGTTCATACGTAGGTATATCATCTTACTAAAGCGACCCCTATTGTTCACGATGTCACGGAAACGTGCCATTATTTGTTGAACAGTCACAACGTGGAGATCACCTGTAAATTATTATCGTCCTTCTTCATATTTCTTTATATCTACCTGTTTATCTCTATAGTACGTTGTCAGATGACGATGATTTACGAGCACATCATTGGATGACCTAGTATGTGATAACAACAGGGAAGAACATAACGAAGATTCACCAATACACAGGTTAATTCTGACACAATACCAGTAAACTGGCCTCTTAAAAAGTACCTATCATGACCTCATTAAAGCTCTTTCCTCGAGGATGCTATAATTTTAGCCAAACACACAAAAAAAATAAAAGTGTTTGCAACAAAACTAGAGCTCAAGATATCAGAAAATAAAAACACGTTAGACATGGAAATTCTCGTGTCTTTAACCTTACAAATCGGGCCATCGTCTACCAGCCTAAATAACAAAGTAAGACAGAGAGGTTGATACTGATTTTTTTTAGTGCTCTGTTCACTGCAGGGAATCGAACCTCATATTTTACCGTTTTAGTCCGTAAAGTCACCGCTAACTCACTCGAGGACAAGACTGAGATAAACTTGATTCATACATTGCTGTATAAAATGTAGCTCCTGTAATAATATTTCGTGTGAATATTAATTCTAAAAAATATAAATATTCTTTTAATTGTAAACTACATTTAACCAAACACTTATTAATTG